CCAGGAGGAGGTGACCGTAGGATGATTGAGGACACTATTCCAACCAGAAGGAGGAGAAATTGGAAAAATATTGATTTTCCCTGGGAATGGGGCCAAACATCCTCAAAACATTTCATTAACACTATGGAGGTAATAAGATGAACTAAAATGTTTCTACAAGTTGCTTCCTTGTCTGTATAATAATAATCCTTGCATTTAAGTTCAAGATCCTGGTCCTCAACTTCAAAGCCTTGCTCCTCCCTATCTCTCTCCTAGCAACCTGTCCGCTCCCTCCACACGGCAGGCTCCAGCCTGCTATACGGCCCCCACCATTGGCGGGGTGGCCTTCAGCCTCTCTGCCCCCACCCTCTGGAACTCCATCCCATAAGATAACATGTCGGAGCAGGAATAGGCTATTCGGCCATTCGAGCCTGCCCCGCCATTCAATCATAGCTGATCTTCTAATCTAACTCCAGCTAATAAACCTGACCCTGCCTTATCCCCATATCCCTTAATCTCTTTTGCAATAAGAAATCTATCTATCTCAGTCTTGAGATATCCCACAGTCCCTCCACCTAGCCTCCTCCCTTATCTGCTTCAAGACCCATCTCAACACCCTCCTCTTTGACCGTAATTTCGATCACTCACCTACCGGTCCTGCTCTACACCCCTCCTGATCCCAATCACAAGCTCGGGTGCAGAGCCAGCACCTTGGGACTTCCTCCTGATGTGAAAGGCACTATGCAAATGTAATTTGTTGTAATTAAGAACATGAAGCACCATAAAGATCTTTTACAAAATCAATGACAAATTTTCAAAATGGCATCCGAAGCAGTTTTAAGAGTCCGCATTTCTTACCCGATATGAACATCACCAGTCTTCTTTTTAAAAAAAAGTTGCAGCGGCATTTTTTAATAATAATTATTGAAAAGTCACATTAAAATAATTACAACAACAACAAAATTACATTTGTAAAGCGCCTTTCACGTCGGGAGGACCACCCAAGGCACTGGACAGAGTTATGGACCCGAGCTGGGGGTCGGGGTGGGGGAGGGCAGGGGGGGAAAGCAGGGAGATCGAAAGTACGGTCGAAGAGGAGGATCTTGAGATGGGTCTTGAAGGAGGCAAGGGAGGAGACATGTCGAGGGACTGCGGGATGGAGTTCCAGAGGGTGGGGGCAGATTGGCAGGGGACATGAAGAAGGCCGAAACCAGCTGAGCGGAGGGAGCTAACAGGACGGTAGGAGGTCAGGAGGTAGGGGGGAACAAGACCGTGAAGGGTTTTGAAGGTGAGGACCATGATCTTGTGATCTCCGTGTGATGGGAAGCCAGTGAAGTTGGGTAAGGATGGGGTTGTTACGTCGCTGAATCTAGCGCGGGAGAGGACACAAGCTGCAGAGTTCTGGATGATCTGCAGCCTGTGGAGGGAGGAGTTGGGGAGACCGACAAGCAATGAGTTTGAATAGTCGAGCCTGGATGTAACGAAGGCATGTATGAGGATTTCAGTGGCCTGCGGTGTGAGACAGTGTCGGAGCCGGGCAACACTGCGGAGGTGGGGGAAGGCAGAGCGGGTCATGGCACAGATGTAGGGTAAAAAGAACAGTTGAGGGATAGCTTATAGTCTTAGTAAGCTTAAGAATTGTCAAAATTTATAAAAATTATCCTTGCATTTGATATAGCACCTTTCACGTCAAGAGGGTGTCTGTCTTAAATAGCTTCATGGGATTCATACTGTAAAGTGCAGTAACTATTTTATAGGCAAGTGCTGCAGAACAAATTACACACAGCAATGTCCCTCAAATAGCCAACTAGGCCAGGGTGGTCCAAACTTTTGGCAGCTGAGGGCCGAGTCCCCTATTTGAGAAACGTCCACGGGACACTTAAGCAATATTTTTGAGTTTCCCTTCCAGAAATACAACATATAGGTTATGAAGGAAGTGGGTGGGCCAGATGAAATGGGGAGGGGAGGGAGCGGGGATGGATTCGGCCATCAGTTGGACCACCCTGACCGAGGGGATTGTTGACCAGGTCCCATGGAGCAACTCTATTCTCTTTTTGAACAGTGTCAACGGATTTTTCACTGTCCATCTGAACAGGCATACAGGAACCGATTTCATGTTTTAAAGTTTTGTGCATTTATATTAAGGAAATAATATTGCAACAAACTCTTCCTTTTATTCGAAACAATTTTTTTTATTAAAATGCATCATAAAATCTCAGTTGGTCCAAGCGCATTCTAAAAGTTAAGACTGCAATAATTCTTTCCTAAAGAATTATTCATAAAGACAATGGATTTTTAAAATTAAATTAACTTTCAGAATTAAGACAAACTGTGCATTCCTTAACTACTGTATTAAAAGGGAAACGTTAGAGCATTCCTTAAGCTTTTTTTAACATAAGATCTATTGAAATTAAAGCTGCAGAGTTGTCAGACTCTCTCAATCATCAAGTCTAAATGACACTTTGACTTATAAACTTCACTAAAAGGCATTGAAATAAAACTTTCAGAGTCAACCAGGTTCTGTTGCAACCACCTGTCCCCTCCTTCAGACTTAAAAATGCACTGAAAGAAACATTTCAGAGCTGACCTATGTGTATATAAAACAGCATGGGAAAAGATTGAAACATCTCTCCTTTAAATTAAATTTTTATTTTAATATAAAATGCACTGAAATAACGTTTGAGGTGTTTCACAATCATGCATGTCTTATATAGAGAAAAGAAACAAGGGAAAAGGTTGCAAATAGTCTATTAGACTTGGGAATTGCAAATTTTATTAAAATGCTTTGAAATATATGTTTTAGAATTATCCTGAATTGAACTCTGCATGTTTTTAAAAAACTAAAATATTTTAAAAAGAGGACAAGATTACACCAATTACGCTTAAGCCTCAACTTTATTATTAAAAATGCACTGTTGAGTTTCAAAGCTGACCAACTTCTGTGCACCCTTATTACAAAACATTTGAAAAGAAAACAACCCAACACAAGACTTGAGCGATAATTTAGATTAAATTCCACTCTAAAACCTATGCATTATAACAAACTATAAAAATACACTAAAATAAAACCGACAGCATTAAGTTTTCAATAAAAATAAAACATTTATATACTTTTTTAAAAATCACAAAATTACAAGCACACCAACCTCACACTTCTAAATTCACTTAAAAATATTAGACTGCAATGAAATAAGACCATATAAATCTAACCCAAGCTCCTGTATCCTCTTTTTATAAATAAGAGACCAAATTGCACATGAACACAATGCCAGAACAAAGTTAAGAGTTAAAGAGATAGGGGAGAGAAGGAGGGGAAGAGAAGATGAAGGAAGGAGGGAAAGGGAAGAATGGAAAGAGAGAGGAAATGAGGGAAAAGAGGGGAAGGAAGCGTGGAAGAGGGGAAGGAAGGAGAAGGGAAGTAGAATAGAGGAGAGATTGGGAAGGGGGAAAAGAGATAGAGGGAATAGAAAGAGAAAGAAGGGGGAGATGGGGAAGAGAAGGGGGAGATGGGGAAGAGGAGAGGAGAGAAGGAAAGGAGCGGAGGGAAGAGGAGAAAGAGGGACGTATGAGAGAGTCAAGAGAAGGAGGGCAGAGAGGGAAGAGGAGAAGGAGGGAAGAGAAGGAGGGGAGAGAGGGAAGAGAAGGAGAGGAGAGAGAGGGAAGAGAAGGAGGACAGAGAGGGGAGGGGAGGAGAAGGAGGGCAGAGAAGGAGGGGAGAGAGGGAAGAGAAGGAGGGGAGAGGGGGAGGAGAAGGAGGGCAGAGAGGGAAGAGGAGGAGAAGGAGGGAAGAGAAGGAGGGGAGAGGGAAGAGAAGAAGGGGAGAGGGAAGAGAAGGAGAGGAGAGAGAGGGAAGAGAAGGAGGGGAGAGAGGGGAGAGAAGGAGGGGAGAGAGGGAAGAGAAGGAGGGGAGAGAGGGAAGAGAAGGAGGACAGAGAGGGAAGAGGAGGAGAAGGAGGGAAGAGAAGGAGAGGAGAGAGGGAAGAGAAGGAGGGGAGAGAGGGAAGAGAAGGAGAGGAGAGAGAGGGAAGAGAAGGAGGGGAGAGAGGGGAGAGAAGGAGGGGAGGGAGGGGAAAGAGAAGGAGGGGAGAGAGGGAAGAGAAGGAGGGGAGAGAGGGAAGAGAAGGAGGACAGAGAGGGAAGAGGAGGAGGAGAGAGAGGGAAGAGGAGGAGAAGGAGGGAAGAGGAGGAGAAGGGGGGAAGAGAAGGAGGGGAGAGAGGGAAGAGAAGGAGGGGAGAGAGGGAAGAGAAGGAGAGGAGAGAGAGGGAAGAGAAGGAGGGGAGAGAGGGGAGAGAAGGAGGGGAGGGAGGGAAAGAGAAGGAGGGGAGAGAGGGAAGAGAAGGAGAGGAGAGAGAGGGAAGAGAAGGAGGGGAGAGAGGGAGAGAAGGAGGGGAGGGAGGGGAAAGAGAAGGAGGGAGAGAGGGAAGAGAAGGAGGGGAGAGAGGGAAGAGAAGGAGGACAGAGAGGGAAGAGGAGGAGGAGAGAGAGGGAAGAGGAGGAGAAGGAGGGAAGAGGAGGAGAAGGAGGGAAGAGAAGGAGGGGAGAGAGGGAAGAGAAGGAGGGGAGAGAGGGAAGAGAAGGAGAGGAGAGAGAGGGAAGAGAAGGAGGGGAGGGAGGGGAAAGAGAAGGAGGGGAGAGAGGGAAGAGAAGGAGGGGAGAGAGGGAAGAGAAGGAGGACAGAGAGGGAAGAGGAGGAGGAGAGAGAGGGAAGAGGAGGAGAAGGAGGGAAGAGGAGGAGAAGGAGGGAAGAGGAGGAGAAGGAGGGAAGAGAAGGAGGGGAGAGAGGGAAGAGAAGGAGAGAGAGAGAGGGAAGAGAAGGAGAGGAGAGAGAGGGAAGAGAAGGAGAGGAGAGAGGGAAGAGAAGGAGGGATGGGATAGGCGAGGAGAGAGAGAGAGGGGGAAGGAAGGAGCGGAAAGAAGATGAGAGAGCGTGAAGGAGGGAAGAGAAGCAGAGAGAGAGAGAGAGAGCGCGAGGCGGTGTTGGCCTCCCCGCAGGCCCGGCCCCGGCCCCGGCCCCGCTTACCTGGGGATGGTGACACACTTGGTGTTGCAGTTCTGGGTGGTGATGGCCTTCTCCAGCTCGTCCAGCTGCCCCGTCTTCTTCAGCTTCTTCACCAGGCTCTTGACGGCTTTCTCGCACCATTTGTCGTCCTGACCGTTATTCTGCGGCGGCGGCGGCGGCTGCTGGGACGGGGACGAGGAGGACGAAGAGGAGGAGGAGGAGGAGGGCGAGGGGGAGGCGGAGGAGGGCGACTGCGGCTCGGCGCCTTTCTTCCAACCCAACAAACGCTTGACGATAGGCGGGGTGAACGGTAAGATCGACATGGCCGGGGCCCGGGGGGCCGGGACCTCCTCCTCTCTCCCCGGTCGGCGGTGGTGGCGTGGATAGAGAACAGAGAGAGAGAGAGGGAGAGTGTCGGCCGCTGAGGACGGCAGCGGGACCGCGGTGGTGGGTGGTGGGGGGGGCGGGGGAGAAGCGGCGGGAAATCTCCGGCTCCCAACGGTCCTAACGGCCGCTCCGACGCTTCAAATATTCAAACCGTCCGGGCGCCGCGCGCTCGCCAACCGCCAGCCGCCCGCTCGAGGGGAAGGAGCCGGTAAGGAGCCGCTGCGTCGCCTCCTCGCGCCACAAAGAAGCGGCTTATTTTTTTTCTTCTTCAAATTCTTCTTTAAAAAAAGCTTTCGCCTTCCAACTGACCGCAGATCAATCTTTTTTATATAAAAAAAACTATGCTCATTGTTTACACCGCTCCGCTCCCCGACCGCCCCGATCTCTCCCCCTCTCTCTCCCTCTCCCTCTCCTCCCTGTGATTGACGGCGGCCGCCGCTCAACCTAACCTCACCTCACCTCACCGGCCGCTCGCGACCTGGAAATCCCGCCTTCTCTCCCCCCCCCCCCCCGCGCCGCCCACACACGGGCGTCGGACGCTTCTTCCCGGGCGCTGGTTGGTCGAGTGACGTGGCGCGGCGTCCCGGTTCCGCGTTGTGATTGGAGCGCGCCGCCGTCAATCATCCTGGGCGGGGCGGGCCGGGCCGGGCGCGCGCGCGGGGGGAGGGGGAAAGATCCGGTGGAATCAGGTTTGGTTGACGCTTCGGACGAGAGAAAAAAAAACTTTTTGTGTGGCGCCGCAGCACCGCCCAGGAGGAGGCCGGTATCCTGCCGCCGTGCGTGACTCTGCAATGTAGTGCGGGGAGGATGAGGGTGTGAGATTGACGGCGAGAATGGAAACGGCTTCAAATTAAATGAATTCGGTGTCCGAAGCTATGGCGGATCGTATACGGTGGTGGGGGAGGTGTGTGTGTGTGTGTGTGTGTGTGGAGCTGCTCCCTCCGCCATGTCAATCGGCTCCAACCTCAATGGCGGTGTCGCTCAGTCACTCACTCACTCACTGACGTTCAAACCCTTTCCCACCTTTATCTTCCTCGTCCTCCTGAGTGACGGTCCCGGTTGGGAAAACTGCCGCCGCTCCCGAGGGCACACGTCGTTTTGCCGACGACTTTGAAATCCGTTTCGCCCACAGTCAGTGCGTTGGGGATTGTTTTCATCCACAAAAAAAAATGAAAAGTTTTTTTTGGGGGGAAACTCAATCCACTCCTTGTGCCTTCGGTGCTTCGGAAAACACTGTTCCATCCATCTGTGGCCCCGAGAAATAACCTCTTAGTGATAATACTTGTGTTTGATACAGCGCCGTATCACGTCGATAAGATCTCCGCAGTGAAATCCTGCGATGCTCTATCGAGATATCCTTCGGACGTGAAAACGCGACATAAAAGGCTTTGAGACGTCTCAATGGCGTGATACGGACTTATATCAAATGCAACGATTATTATCATCTCCAAACGCTTCACAGAACTTACTGTAAAGTGAATCGACTATTATTTTGTGGGCGAAATGTGGCAGCCGATGGCATTCAGCCGCGTCCCATAAAAAGTCGTGGATTGAGTGACCAAATTACTATGAGTAATAAGCCTTGGCTTTTATACAGCACCTTTCATATCAGAAGGATGTCTCGAAAGAGCACTACAGGTTTTTACTGTGAAGTAAAAATGGACTATTTTGTAGGCAAACGTGGTAGCTATCCTGCACACATCAATATGCTTTATCAGTTCATTTTTTTAAATTGCCATCAAGCAAACCAATGGAAAACTCCATGTTCCAGACAACGACCATAAAATTACACTTGTATAGCATCCTTCACGTCGGAAGGACATCCCAACGCTCTGGACAATCAGTGTTTTGGACCCAAGCCGGGGGTTCGGATCGGGGAGGCTAGAAGGCAGAGAGGAAGGTGGGTGACCGAAGGTATGGTCAAAGAGGAGGGTCTTGAATAAGGCAAGGGAGGGGGCAAGACGCACGGACTGCGGGATGGAGTTCCAGAGGGTGGGGCAGAGAGGCTGAAGGCCCTTCTGCCATTGGTGGGGCAGGCAAGGCGGGGGATGTGAAGCAGACTGGAGCCCGCTGAGCGGAGGGAGTCAGCAGGTTGATAGAGGATTAGGAGGTCGTAGAAGTAGGGAGGAAGTAAGGCCATGGAGGACTTTAAAGGTGAGGACCAGGATCTTGAACTGTATCCTCTGTCTGATGGGAAGCCAGTGGAGTCAGGCAAGGATGGGGGTGTTAGGGTCACAGAGCCTGGTATGGGAGAGGGCACAGGCTGCAGAGTTCTGGATGATCTGCAGCCTATAGAGGGAGGAGTTGGGGAGGCCAACAACTAGGGAGTTTGCGTAGACGAGACTGGATGTTATGAGGATGTATGAGGGTTTCGGTGGCCTGCAGTGTGAGACAGTGGCGGAGCCGGGCGATGTTTCGGCAGTGGGGGAAGGCAGAGGAGGTTATGCATAGATGTGGGGCAGAAGTGATAGTTGAGGTTCAAACTAAACGCCAACAATCCGGATTGGCTCAGTAAGGTGGAGTGTGCAACCATGGATGGTGATGCTGTCAGCGCCTGAGGTGTGGAGGCACTGATGGGAACCAATCAGGAGAGCCTCGGTCTTGTTGACGTTCAACTGAAGAAAGTTAGCTCTCATCCAGGACTTGATGTCTGACAGACAGATAGTTTAATGTTTAACCCGGCAGAATCCCATTCACCGCACTCATTAATTTACTCACAAGAGTGAGCAAGATTGCAGCACCAAACCGCTAGACAGACCAAGCTTCATGGGACCAATTGTTTTGTCTCATTGTAAAGTTTGTTTTGTGTTTTCTTTAATCGGGTTTCGATGTTGATTTCCACTTCCCATTAACCATTCACACAGATCTCATTAGTAACTCACCAGATCACTGCTGTTCGGGAATGCTGGGAGCAGGATCCACATTAACTTTGAAGAGGGATATCTAAAAAGGAACCATTTGAAGAAGAGGTATGGGGATGAGGCAAATAAAATGGGACTCAATGGGTTACTCTTTCAAAGAACCATAATGGGCCAAATGGCCGTGTTCTGCCATGTAAGGTTCTATGCCTCACCACAAACGGCTATTGAAGCTAAGTTCATATGAGCATTTAAAAGAGAAATGGATGAATACTTTGTTCCTTTAATGCTTAGAAAAAGTAACATGAAAGGGTATAGAAGAAAGAGTGGGAAATGAAACTGAAGTAAAGTGCAGTCTCGCACGAGCAAAGACACAATGGAGACAGTCCTAATTAAAGGGAAAACCTATGGTGAGATCCTGAATAAAATGAGAGGTCACAGGCTCGGGGGTATGTAAAGGGTAAGTTTACGGCTGCCACCAGGATGTATTTCTTTGCACAGATGGTGACAACAGCTGGAACAGGTTACCAGAAATAGTGGTCAAGGACTAATTTAAGAAATATCTTAATGCTGTAATGGTGGGAATGTTCTAGAAGGGTGAGAGCCTTGTATGGCCTCTTGATACAAACCTCTCTTGGGATCTTGAGAAATCGTTAGCGTTTTTATAAACTGTGGGATGAAGTAAAACTGAAGAGAATCTCTGCTGGACATGTGCAGAGGGGGAAGCTCATCCTTGAAGCTTTATTTATACATATTCAGAATGGCGGGGGAGAACGCACTGTGTAACAGAACAAACTTGGGAATGAGTACCAGTCTCAAGGGCAGTCTGCAGATAAAACCAACACAGTCAGTGGGCTGAAATAAATAACATTCATCAACTGCAATCCATGAAATGTAACATTTGCTTAGGGGAATGTTGAGTCTGCAAAGCAAAAGTCAAGCTACAATTTTTTTTTGCCATGAGGTGCTTTTTTTCTATCACCTTTTTCTTTCAGTGGCAGTTTGACTGAGTTGGTAGCACTCTTGCTTCTGGGTTTGTAGGTTGTGGATCTAAGTCCCCACAGTTGGTATTGAGCTCACAGTCCAGGCTGATGCCCCAGTGCAACACTGGAAGCATTGCATTGTCTGTCCTTTAAATGAGCTGTGAAATCAAAGTCCATCTATTCATTTCCAGCTAGATCTTAAAAATCCAGTGGCACTATTGGAAAACAGAAGTTTCTCCCATTGCCCTGGATAACAATCCCACAGAAAATTGGTGATTCATCTTGTGGGTTTTAACTAGGCTGCCTCGTCATTAAATGTGATGACTCAAACTGGGGTATGGTTCCACAAGCACCAGTGGTTATCATTTAGCTGTGAGCCTTGACAGTGAGTGCCAGCAGGTGATTCGCACACCATAGCTAAGACACAACCATGCACATGTTTCCAGCAGTTATTAGATATCAAAATCAAGTTACCTAACTCAGTAGTTATTCCTCCTTAACAAACCTGAGTTGCAAAGAAAGTGCCATCTAACAAAAACGTTCTTATATATAACACTCCCAGGACCTGCCAGTTCAGTATCTGAAATAAATGCCCGTGTGAATCATTAATTACACTGGTCTCTACGCACATCTGTAATGGTCTTCATCCATTAAATTATATACAGAATTTCAAAACAAACTTGTCAAAGTTTTGGTAATGAAAAGTATTCATGGTTGTTACATGATGAGATAGATATGTTCAAGATTTTTTTGAAGACATTGGATGGACAATGAGATGGACAAAAGGACCTTAAAATTAGAGAAGAACTGAGCAGGACTGAGGCAAGATGACTGAGTGATATTATTTTGGACAGGAAAGCCAGAGATGCGGAAATGATTCACAGGTTGAAGAAAGTAATGTATAAATGATCAAAAAGAGAAGTTGGATGAAGGGTAGTGCATGGACTGGCATTCAGTAGAGCAAGCTTGATGGACCAAATGGACCACTCTCATTCCTCAATTCTTAGGTATTATGTATATCGACACCTGCCTGATACTGTTACTGTTTTGACAGATCAAATAGATCGCGAGAGGATCCAATGTTCATCGTCTGCTTGAATAATGACACAGGGAAACCCCATTTTAATACAGTATCTTGGATCAAAAAAGTGAAGACATTGGTTATAAAGGGGCAGCAAAATTAGATGGTTACTAGTCCTGGATCGTTAGGTTGCCGCTGACATCATGTCTGGCTGGTCAGCCACGATTCTAGCACAAACCTGTTGCAGCTCTGGTTGCTTACAGCACATATGACGTGAAAATATCTGATTGATCTAGAAACCTGAAGTGTACCACAGTTACAGTATTCGCAATGTTTTAAGCAAATGTTTGCTCTAATACTGTAGGTGGTCAGGTGGGATTGACGTTTAATCATTGCCTTTGAAGTACAGTATATCTATAATGTTGGGCTATGGGATGTAGGATATCCCGCATCCACAATGGGTTCAAAGTAAGACAGCTTAATAATGTTCCATAATCCTAAAAGATCCTAATACATTTTAAGGAAAATGTTCTTACAACCTCGGTGTGGTCAGGCTAGAGCACAGTACAATTTGAGAACCGACCGCAGCGTCTTTTGGGTGAGGGAGGGGTACCAGGTAACATTCCTGTCTGATCATTATCCAGCCATCACATAATTGGAGTTATCTAGTTATGTGAAACACATACCAGAATGTAGTCACCACACAGACACAGGAGAGCAGGACTAGAGATAGGCAGAGTGTGGAAGAGGGGAGTGAGTGGGTTCAGTCTCTTACATCCACCTATATGAGGAAAGAAGACATCACAGTAATATTGAAGTCGAACAACAAATGTACTTTGGAATCAGCCCAATCATAATAACCTTTACGGTCCTTTAAATGTATAATTTTCTGCCACAAACCACAGTTCAGGTAGAGTCCAGACATGCTTGGAATGTGTGCTCTGTTTTAAAATCAGGAATCAATTAAAGGTCATTGAAAAGAATGATAGTCACTCCCAGTGATCGGTGTAAGTTCATTCAGCCTCTGGTCTGAACACGTTGGAGCTCAGACACCAGAAAATCTGACAAGAGCCCCATCTGCTGGTAACGTTAGGAAGTATTGTGTTGTCTCTCAGTTGTAGACCAGTTGAGAATTATATCCCAAGTTATGTTGAGGCTACTGGTACCCCGAGTCAACCATAGATTAAGCTGCACGTAGAATCAGCTGGTCATTGAGCTCGTTCCTGCCAAGATGAACTTCTGAACTTTAAAGAAGTTTGGTAACTATCCTTCCAGAGCTGTAAGTCTTCCAATCCATCCAAACGTTTATTAAATCAACCACGAGACAACAGCAGACATTCATATACCCTCAGCGTGCAATTGTTTAACCAGCTATTACCAAACTTCCATCAAGCAAATATCAGGCACTTTGGTCAGACAAAATACAGTAAACTCCTGATAACTCATCATTCCAAGAGAAAAAGGCTGTTATCCAGAGTGATGAGTTAGGTGTATCATATGATGATAATAGTCCTTATATTTACAAAGCGTCTTATCAAGTCATTGAGATGTCTCAAAGTGCTTTACAGAATATACTGTAAAGTGAATTGACTGTCTATTTTGAATGCAAAATGCACCAGCCAATTGCACACAACAGTGTCCCACAGTCAAAATATTTTTTTATTTATTTGAAGGGATTATTATCCCCAGAAAGCAATCCACCAATCCACTGACAACTGGGTTGCTGCTCACTGCTGGGTAAACAGAGGGATGTGGAAACTTGCCTAAGATATCGCCCCACCTAGGAATCAAATCCAGGTCTTCTCGCTTGCGAGGTGAGCACTACCAACATGCTACAGAACTCCAATGACAAGTTAAGCCAGTGTTGAGTTAGCAGGAGTTTACTGTATATGGACATTTCCATCAGATAAATAATTAAGCAAATATCAGTCGCTATAGAAATAATATCACAGAAGACTATTCGGACACTGACCCTTCGTTGGTGCTAGCTTCCCTGTTATTTCAATCCCAATTCCCTGCTTTCCCTATAAACTTTCTTCCTCTTCAAATGCATATCCAATTCTCTCATAAAAATTCTGATGGTCTTATCCTCAATCGCCAGGATCAGATGCAGAGATGGCAGTTAGTGGTTATGAAGTAGTGGACACGCAACAGGGAAGAAGCCAGACGTTGTGACATGATAATTTATAAACATTATTTCTTGGCAATACATTTCCTACCCATGTTCGAAATTTAAATGATCTTTTTTCCAATAAAGCCTCTGCATTTCCAGATACACAGATCAAAAAATAAACAAAGTCATTACCTGTCGAGCCACAATTCTGGAGTATTCTGTACACACTATAACATGGGAGATTCCAGCTCTGGGTTTGAATTGCATTTAAAATTTGAAGACACGGTGAGATGTTTGATTGAGTCCCCAGCAGCACTGGGATAATAATAATCCTTGCATTTGATATAGGCCTTCATGTCTTTGAGATGTCTCAAAGCACTTCACAGAATATACTGTAAAGTGAATTGACTGTATATTTTGTGGGTGAGATGTGACGTTGCTACAACAACAACAAATTACATTTGTATAACACCTTTCAAGTCGGGGGGATGTCCCAAGGTGCTGGAGGAGTATTTAAGAAAGTAAGAGTATTAATGGGATACAGAGAAAAAGCAGGAAAATGGGATTAGAAAGTTGGTTGAGGCCAGGATACTAGACTCATTTAAAAATGCTTGATGTTATGATGGGCAGATGGTAGGGTCGGTATTCTGCAAGGCTGAAATCCAATTGGCCAAAGAGCTTTCTTCATCCAAACCAATCTTGTGTGATTTACTTTGACATAACAAAACAATAGAGCAGGTTCAATGGGCTGAATGACCTCCTGTTCCTAATTGGCCTATTTCACTGTCTGGTGGTAAGGAATGAACATTTGCTACCTGGAAAAAGGTCAGAGAATAGCAGCAAGGAGAGCCATAGGTAGTCCTGGATGTAGTGGGATCTTCCAGTGCTTGCCTTATCCTCATTCCAAGGACATAACAGCAAACAACCAATTACATTTGTAAAGCGCCTTTCATATTGGTAGGACGTCCCAAGGTGCTGGAAATAGGACCATTAATATCCCCCCTTTAAGTGGCCACTAAGCTGCTTCAGAGGTAAAATGAAATGGATCATGACATGAGGGTTGACATAATGGCCACAGATTGCATGAACATACTCAGAAGTGGGGACTGCCCATCCTTTGCAATGCATGACTTTTCACACAGAGGCTGTGAGAAGATGGAACGCACTGCCCTCAGAAGGATGTTTAAAAGATCTTGGATAAGAGAAACTGAGAAATGGGACTGAAATATCTATTGTGAAGTAAGAAAATGGTGCATCAGGCTCAATGGGCAGAACAGCTTCCTCCTGTTACTATAAAAAGGAATGTGAGCATCCCAAATGCAATATTCAACAACAAGTTGCATTTATATAGAGCCTTTCACATAAGGACATCCCAAAGTGCTGGATAATCAATGGTTTGCACCCAAAATGGGATGCAAATTAAGACTTGTGTTATTTAGATTTATAGATCTACCAAGCAGTATAAAATTCCTCATCGCTGGTAAATCTCAAACAAAAACATGGAAGTCGTTTCCATTCTTGGTTCACTGTTCGAAAGTCAGCACCAATTTTACCGTTTTATATAATTTTACTATTTTATATAAAAGTGAGCGTACATCACATAACCAATACAATCACAGAAATATATGTATTAGATCGAGGAAAGTACTTGGGTTTTTTTTTTAGTGCCTCACCATTTCTGAAAGCACTTGTCCAAAATAGATTCTTGTCCTTCACTATTACACAGGTCAGTCCCTTCACCTCCTCACCACAGCTCTGTGTTAAATAAAACATATGTTCCTTATCCCTCTGTAAAATATGTGATCTTTAAAAATGGCCACTTTCAATTTTGTAAAAAAACCCAAGTACTTTCCTCGATCTAATACATATATTTCTGTGATTGTATTGGTTATGTGATGTACGCTACTTTTTAAAAAGCAGAAGTGTAACAGGAAATAAACCAGATGACAAAATCCTAAAGCCTTGCACATTTTCTGAAAGTGTCCTTTCAAGTAGGAATTTGTATTGATACTAATTCCCTTAAGAACAGGTGAGTGATACTGAGTGACCAGCCAAGCAGTGCATCTATCCCCAGATTGATAGAACAAAGTGATACTGTGCAGTTTAGTATCAAGGCTGAGGTTTACTAGGGCCGCTGCATGGTGGAATAACCACAGCATCCCCTGCTAGTTATCTAAACGTTAAAATGCAAGTGCTTTTTGAAAAGAAAAACATTCACACTGCTTTTTGGTAGCAAAATCGAAACAAATTGGTGAAAATATCAACTGAATCCCAGCTAGCGACAACGATCAGGACCCAACATCAAGTGACTAAAGTGCATAGAAAACGAGAAAGTTACATATTAAAAGGCCCAGGTGTATAGAGCTGTGGGCAGCAACATTTCAGGAAGAATGCCAAGGCATTAAGAGAACAGAGATTTACTAGAATACCAGGCTGAGAGGCTTTACTTATGAGGGGGTACTACAGACGGACTAGAATAGAGTCTGAAAGAAAACCCAAGGAGCACTTTGAGATATCTCGAAGACGTGATAAGGCTCTATATCAAATGCAAGGATTATTATTATTATTATCAGAAGTATTTAAGCTTATGAGGGGCTTTGATAAGGCAAATAAAGAGAACACTGTTCAGTGAGCTGATGTCCTAATATAATATAAATACATCTGTATAAATCCAAGTTGTTGTTGTCTAGAGGGCATAAATATTATTAGTATAGGGAATACTCAACCAAGAACACAAGTCGAAAATATAAAATGGGAGGGGAAAAGGTGACCAAATAGATAGCTCTTTTAGAGAGCAAGCACAGCCATGATGGGTCAAATGGCTTCCTTCGTTATTTTGATAATCATCTTAAATTTGTGCCCTCTGATGTCAAGTGGAAATGCAGTAGTTTTTATTTAATTAAAATTCTTTAAATTTGATAACAATGAAACTTAGCTTATCTAAAATGGAGCAATTGAGGTTACAGGTCGCCTGAGGGGTTAGAAACAGGAAAGGAGGTCAGAGTTCTCGCTCAAATTAGTATCCAGAGCCTCCTGCTGGAAGCTGTGTGTGTGGATGTCAGATGAGGGTATGATTTGGGATCAGCTGTGATGCCCCCATGTGGCTAAATAGATGACAACAATTGCCACTGATCCATTGCCCTTCATGTAACAGAATGTTTGAAAGCATTTAACAAATTTTGTAGTTGAGCCTAAAGGAAAATAAAATAATTATTAATAATAATGATATTGACCAAAACCCAAAAATCATTTTCAGTGTTTTGCTGGCAGGGAAAGAGGTAGCAAAACAAAGTGGTTTTGGAAGGGAGATCCAGAGAACAGGTGATAATGCAGCAAATAACAAAACAATTCTGCATGTGCCGGCAAGAGAACAGAGGCCCAACCTTTCATTGTCTCTTACTTAAAACCATCCTCTGACAATTTAAGATTGTGCAGAATTTTAAAAATTCTTAAATGTAGTATTTTTAAGAACAGGTGGAAACTGACTTCCAAACAAAGACTGAATTTAAGGTTTTTCTGTAATCTCAAATGATCTTAAAAATCTATGACAATGATTTTAAGGTTGAGATTGAAGTCAGAGTCTTGCCTCAGAGCTTTAGTTTCTGCATTCAAACTGAGGTCATTGTCCACTTTAAACACTAAGGCAAACTCGCTTGAGCTAATTAAGTGAGATACATTACATTAGAAAAATAATCCGATGTTTCTCCCACACGCAAACACATTCGGAAAGAAAGGCATGTGTTCAAGTTCACGTTAAGTTACAATATTCAAATTCTCTTTGGGTTTTGTTTTATCTCCTTCTCAGTTTAAATACAATTTATATAATAGATCGACTTCAAGATCATTCAGTGGTCCACAAAATTAATTTCTATTCAACGCTTTACACATTACAAATGTTTTATGTACAGTTAAAAGTGTAGGCTTGGCTAGGTCTTTGGGTTCTGAGTACAGGTTCTATGCCAGTTGTTCATCGTTCTTTCAAGACATTCTCAGATCCTAACCCTAGCTGCCCTCTACTGCCTGATCTCCTGCATGGGGATGGTAGGGTTAAACCGTGGGGCCCATGGGTTTCCAGTGGCAAAGTACTGCCGGGGCAGGTGAGAAAAGGCGCTGGTGTGAGACAGGGCCAAAGTGAAGATCCCCCGATTGCTCTCGTCTTCAAAGTGATTCCCGTTCAACATCCGAGCAGTGGGAATCTCCCTCTCCGGGTCCCCGCCAAAGATCCTGGAGTTAAAGAAGCTCTCAGCGTGGCTCTGCTGCAGCTTACCAGCATTGGGAAGCCTGCCCACCTCTTGTGCCAGGAAGTTGGCAGCACCTTGATCGGGTTGTGTGGCTCCCAGAGGGTACAGGAGGCTGGCGGAGCGCCAGGCGGCTGGGCGTCGCCCTCGTCGAGGCCGGGGCAAGCGGCAGCTTAACCTCTTGATGTGTCTGTGCAGGTGGTCGGAGCGGGTGAAGCTCTTGAAGCAGTGCTGGCACTGGTATGGCCGCACTCCGGTGTGAATGCGCATGTGGTTCTTCAGATCGTAGTTGTGAACGAAGCGGGCACTGCAGTGAACACAGGTGTATGGTCTTTCTCCTGTGTGCTTCCTCATGTGGATCTTCAGCTTGTCCTGTCTGAAAGCACAAACAACAACAAATTACATTTATATAGCGTGTCGGGAAGACATCCCAAGTTGCTAGACAGGGATTTGGACCCGAGCTGGAAGTTGGGATTAAGAGGGGTGGAGGGCAGGAAGGATAATAATAATAATAACCCTTGCATTTGATATAGCGCTTTTCACGTCGGGAGGACGTCCCAAAGCGCTTCACAGAACACACTGTAAAGTGAATTGACTGTATATTTGTGGGCGAATGCGGCAGCCAATTGCGCACAGCAATGTCCCACAAACAGTCGTAGATTGAAAATGACCAATTTATTATTGTTTTGGTTTTGGAGGGATTATTATTAGGCTCTGTGTGGAGTAAGGAAACTTGCCCGAGGTTTCGCCCTCTGCCTGGAATTGAATTCAGGTCTCTCACTTGCAAGGCGAGTGCTCTAACCACTGAGCTACAGGACTCCACAGTCCTGGATGGAGGTAAAAGTGTGAAGGAAAGCGTAGTGGAAGAGGAAGACCTTCAGGATATCAAAGGATATACAGGACATCACTGGAGAACACTGAGACCTTGAGCATTAACAATACAGCAGAAACCCCGAGATCTACACAAACTGGGACTGGCTACATAGAAGTTATGGAAATAGGGAAAATATAAAGACATCCTATGAAATACAATATACAGTACTAACCAAAAACTTTCATCATAAGTTATATTAGCTAGCCTTTTCTCTCATGTCTCCCACATACTGGGACAGACTCTTTCTTTCATGTCGGTTTCAATCTCTCAGTAACATTTCTGTCTGTATTTGACTCTTCCTCACACTGTCTGTTTCTCATACTGACTTGACAGCATGATAAGGTACAATATCGAATGCAAGGATTATTATTAAATGCTCTCTTTCTGGCACTGACTCTGTCAGACTTTTTTTTCCCTTTCTCACTAATGCTCTCTCTTCCCTACTCTCACTGAATAGTTTAATTTGAATTAGTGGAGATGGAGGGTGGGGGTTAAAAATCTGGAAATAAAGAGACTTGCATTGATACAGAGAATTAAGTGAACATGGTAGCTAATCTACTACACCAGCAACATCCCACAATCAAAAATGTGTATGTGGGGGAAACAAATTTGCTCAGGAAGTTGGTGTTTGCGCAAAACAAATAGAAAAACATCAGTGGGAGCTTTGGCAGCACTACATTGGTTGGCAGAGGAGATTTTTTAACTAAGAGAGTGTGGATAGCTTCCCCCAATAGCTCGGTGAGATTTTCCTGTGAGCAGCTAAGCCATAAAGACATAAAGACAGTCCAAGGGACATGGTACTGGGCTGTTAGTTGATGTCATCCAGGATAATAATAATAATAATCCTTGCATTTGATATAGCGCTTTTCACGTCGGGAGGACGTCCCAAAGCGCTTCACAGAACACACTAGAAGGTAGAGATGCTATTGGCTTCAACAATCATAGGGTAAAGTGAGAGAATATTTGTCAGGTACAATATTTGCCCGCTCTTGAGGCTTCCTTGCTAGAAATTTGCTGTGCACAATTGGCTTCTGTTTTTTGCCCACAAATTATTCATTTTACAGTATATCCTGTGAAGCGCTTTGAGATATCTCAACAATATGATTAGGCTCTATATCAAATGCAAGGATTATTATAAATTGTAAGTACGTATATCGGGTGAGGAATATACAGTTGTAATCCTCTTTACATCGAACACCCTGTGATAGTCATTGTTAAGCATCTATTTGGCCCTTGTACAAAGGTACAAGAGGGTGCCTGTCACATCTGGAGGATGTCTCAAAGTGCTTAATAGACATTACTGTAAAATGTAGTTACTATTTTAATAATAATAATAATAATGTTTGCATGTTGTGCTGGCAGGATGTCCCAAAGTGCTTCATAGGATTTACTGTGAAGTAGAGTGACTGTGTGTTTGTGGGCAAATGTGACAGACAATTTACTCACAGTAGCAACAAACAGCTATCGAGTGAGTGACCAATTTTATTTAAGGGATTGTTGGCTAAGACATCGAGAGAAACTCCCTCCTCTTTTCTAATAGTGCCATGGGATTTTTAACGTCCACCTGAACAGGCAGCTACTTTAACATCTCATCCAAAGGATGGCTACTCCAAAAATGTAACACATCCTAGCACTGACCTGGAGTGTCAGCTTAGACTGTTTGAGTTCAAGTTTTAAAGTTAGGCTTGAACCCACAACCTGCTGACTGAGGCGAGAGTGATTTCACTGAGCCAGGCTGATTTAGAGGGCGAATACAACATAGAACAAAAAAGGGAATCAAATGCTTTCAGGGAAAAGAAAATTGCAAAGCAAGAAACAAAGAGGAAAAGGAAGCAGAAAGCATCTTGTAGGTTTGCAGTCAGAATTCTGTTCAGCCTCCGTGAAGTTCCCATGTACACAGATAGGTGTCACCACAACCCCCAGGAAAGAAGATAATAATAATAATCCTTACATTTGATATAGTGCTTTTCACGTCTTCTAGATGTCTCAAAGAGCTTCACAGAATATACTGAAAAGTGAATTGATTGTATAGTTGTGGGCAAATCGCGGCAGTCAATTGCTCACAGCAGTGTCCCACAAACAGTGGTGGATTGAAACTGACCAATTTATTATTGTTTGTTTGGAGGGATTATTATTAAGATATTGCCTTTGCTGCCTGAACAACTTGATGAATGTCTCAAGTTGCTTTACGGAGATGATGGAGATCACCGAGCAGGGAGAAAAGGAGAAGAGTTTCAGTTTGAGTTAATTATAATAAATAATAATCCTGCATTTAATATAGCTCCCCATCACTCATACCTACTGCCTGGAGCTGACAGTGCTGTAACCTTGGTGTGGATCAATTCTGTTGGACAAACTGCAAATTATTTTATTTCTCTTTTGTACCTACATAAATTAAAAAACGGGTGAAAACCTTTCTGTTTCGGTCTAGGGTTTAATCTTGTAAATTGAAATTCCATTCTATGCTGAGATACCTGATCTCAGTGGGGTGAGGGAAGGAAGGAAACAGTTGGGCTCCAATTACATTCAGATATCCTTGGTCAGGAATATAAGAATAGGAGGCAGTTATTCAGCTTGATAATGACAGATCTGATAACGACTGGCTCAGGAACTGGACTAGGGACCATCACAGAGGCTTGTTTGATTCTGACAATCCGTTGCTAAACCAGTTCAGTTCCAAAGGACGCTGCTTCCCCCCCTCCGCCCCAGGAGTATACCAGTAAATATTGGAAGATGAATGGTTGGCAAAGTGCTAACACAAATATTCTCTATCATGAGACCTAATGAGGTTTCAGTTTTAAGATCATTGTACTTAAGATTGTGTCGAATTTTGGAAATTTAATGAATCCAGTCTTAATCCAGATTAATCCAGATGGAATTTAATGTGGGGAAGTGTGAAGTTATTCACCTAGGTAGCAAAAATAGAAAAACAGATTACTTTCTAGAGGGGGAGAGATTAGATAGTGTTAGTGTTCAGAGGGATTTGGGTGTCCTGTACACCAGTCTCAAAGAGTTAGTTTGTAGGTGCAGGGATGAGGGGACTGACCAATGAGGATAGGCTGAATAAACCAGGGCTATATTCTCCAGAGTACAGAAGAATTAGAGGAGATCTTATTGAAACATATAAGATTCTTAAAGGGCTGATAAAGTAGACACAGAGGGACTGTTTCCCCGGTGGGAGAATCTATAACCAGGGGTCACAGTCTTAAAATTAAGGGTCAGCCTTTTAGAACAGAGTTGAGGAAACATTTCTTCACTCAGAGGGTAGTGAATTTATGGAATTCACTCCCCAGAAAGCTGTAGATGCTCAGTCCTTGAACATCTTCAAGGCTAAGACTGAGAGATTTTTAAAAAATAGAGGGATTAAGGGATATGGGGATAGGGCAGATAATTAGAGTTAGGTCTGAAGATCAGCCATGATCTTATTGAATGGCGGGGCACAGGCTCGAGCGGTCGAATGGGCTACTCCTGCTCCTAATTCTTAAGTTCTTATGTCCTTATTTGGAATCTGGTTCTTTTAAAGAACTGTGGAAAACAGCTTATAAATGAATACTGATGTTTCATAATGATATGGGATCAAACTTTAAAACAGTGGCCCGAAGGGCGAGACCATGAGAAACGTTGGGACTCTCCCCTTTAGGAACATAGGAACAGGTGTAGGCCATTCAGCCCTTCGAGCCTGTTGTGCCATTTAATTAGACCATGGCTGATCTGTATTGCAACTAATCTTTTCAATTCTAATTTCCCACTTTCCCCCCATATCCCTTAATACCCCGATCTACAAACAAATTAAGGATAACAGTGAATATTAGTAGAGATTTCTGATTAGCAATTATTCGAGGACAAGAGAATATCAATTTAAACTAGGGTTATACAAGGGGAAGTCGCAAAGAATTTTAGATAGAAAGGGGAGAAAGGGTAGAGAGATCAATGAAATGTGGAAGAAATCTCCCCCATTATTCAATCAGCCAGTCAATGTCAATGAATGGCTTCAACACTCAGTCAAAATATCTGCAAAATGCCCGCAATCAGTTAAAATGCCTGCACAATTTCCATGCTGAAGTCAGAGACCATCCTTCACCAGAGAAGTAAGGTTTCAGAACGCCCTCGACACTGACAGAAGGCTGCACTTTATTTATGTTAGTCTTTTCTTCATTGATCAAGCTATCTATCCTAATTCCAATTCCCTTAACTTTACCATACCCATCCAGTGATTTTCCTTTGCACACGCTTCACTTTTAAATACCAAACAGGGAAATTTATAATAATAACAATCCTTGCATTGATATAAAGTTTTATCAGGTAGTTGAGACATCTCAAAGTGTGTCACAAAATATTTTGTAAAGTGAATTGATTGTATTTTGTGGGCAAAAAATTATTCCATGTGTGGGTGGCAAATATACGTGGAACTGTCTGGCTGGTTTGGCATGATGATGGGTTTCCACAAAAGTGGCTGCCCCCACCCTACAAAAATGGCCCAATTAACTCTGTTTCAACAACCACCCCTAGGATTCCACTGAGAGAAAAACATTCTTTGTGGCTTCCCCTTTTGTACCCCGAGTTATAATGTTAATGAATATTTTCTTGTCCTCAAATAGTTCCCAATTGATTATATCTTTTCATTATTTAACACAACGTCAATGGAATGCCCACTAAAGAGAAGAACCAAACTGAACCTCAAAACCATTACTAACCTGGTAAAACGGACTCCACATATGTTACATGTATACGGTTTCTCTCCTGTGTGTGTCCGCATGTGCCGTGGCAGCTTCCCCGCTCCCTGGATCACTTTGTTGCAAATGGGACATTGTTGAGATGCCTTTGGCCTCATCTTCTTCTCATCCTCTAGAGTCCATGTTGGGTAGACAGCTGCCAGGAATGAAGGATCCAACATGCTCAGGTAGGAACGGAAATCAAGCTCCTCCTTTACAGCTCCAAAGTTGTTCCGGTTACTTTGCAATAACATATCCTTTAGAAAGTCGCATGCGCTCGTGGCTGATGGCAAATCTTCCTTGATCTCCTCTTTGATCTGTTCCTTTTTTACCACCAAGTTCAGAGGCACCTGGTCTATATCTTGGTGTTCTCTAAGCAAAGGGAAAGGATTATAGTTGCTATTCCAATAGGGAGGAAAAAATCTTGATCTCAATGGAGACACATTGTTTCTCCTATCTAATATATTCGCTCTCGAATTTATTCCTCCATTTAACAAAGAATCTAAGGAGAAATCATGTACAGGACCCAAGCGACCACTAGCCTCACCGATCAGTAATTCATTCAGGATATCCCTTGGTGGTTCAGCGTGGTGCTTATCCATATGAGGCTTATTGGAAGTGCCTTCTAAATTGTAATCTTTTATCCAATGTTCACCATTTTGAAAATCTGCTTGGACATTTTCTTGAGGGTCTTTAATAGGGTCTAGGGGAAGATCTTTGATGTCTTCCTGGGGAGATTCTTTGACAACCTCTTGTTCGAGATGTTCTTGAAGTTCTATCTGGGTTGATGGCTCCACTGGTTCATTTCCCTCACTGATGATGTCACCACTCGAGTCCATGATGTCTATGCAGACCTTGGAGATGCACTGGATCTCCAGCAGTTGTGCTGCACTAAGAATGTCTTTGACATCTGACGGGCTGATGGTAAGGGTTGATGTGTAAGCAAACTCCAGAATTGCAGAAAGCGCCTCTGGTGTGACAAAGTCAATCTCGTAAACGCTGTGCTGGTCGGCAAGTGTGTCTGCAGTGAACAGAGTTTTGAAGTATTTGCTGCAGGCCGCAAGGACTGACCTGTGGGTCCTATATTCCTGATCTTTTACTATCAGGACAACGTCACATAGAAGACCATTCTGTCTCTGCTCATTTAAACTGGACAGGAGTTCACTGCTGTGATCTGGGAATGGAATCCCGATCAGGTCAGAGGTGCTAGCCATCTTCACACAAAGAGGCCTATCAAATAGAACAAAATGGAGCATCATGAGATTTAAGTCAACTACAGAAGTTAATAGAATATTCCAGCACACAAACAGGTCATTCACCCCAACAATTCTGCCCTGGTGTTTTTCTCTACTTAAGTAACCACGGTTTTTGAAGCTGTGGTGTGAACTTTTAAAAGGGAATTTAAATGATGCAGAAAAAGATCCAAGAAATAATAACCTTTGCATTTGATATAGCCCTTTATTACGTCTTCGAGACTTCTCAGAGGGCTTCACAGAGTATATTGTAAAGTGAATTGACTGTATCTTGTGTTGGCAAAACGGATGAGAGTGGGGGAATAGTTCCAGTGGAGGAACTGGCATCAGCAAAATTCAGTGGCCTCTTCTTTCTATATGATTCTACAATATATACATGAGTTAAATCCTGTTCCTATGTTACAGACGGACAGTACTGGAATTAGGCTGTCTGATCCTGCAGCTCGCCAACAGTCATAAATTGAGCAGTTCTGTAATTCAGAGTCTGATCATTTACTTGTGAGTTACCAGGTTCTTTGAAAGCACGAAAACTGAAATTATACATCATGCTCTCCTAACTTAGGAAAGAAAAGCGACTGCTCTGAAGATCTCTGAGTTACAGCATTTTGGAATGGAGCCAAGTGTTTTCTAACCACATCAAATACAACATGATGTTAATGCTGACACCGCAAATATCTCAGCTTGTATACTGTTACCTGTCAAACCACTTTAACTTCCTGTCAAATAATCAGCAATCAGAGAGAAAGAGGAAACCACAACAGATGTATAGCATCGTGCAACTGTGGTTGCATTTTCTATAACACTGTTGGGAGCAGTGTTTTAAGGTTCCTTAATAGGAAGGGTATTTAAGCAAATATATGAAAATTTAAATATGGAGTAAAGTCAGAGCAGTGGCATTAAACAGGCGCAATAGGCTGAATGGTTTCCTGTGATATAAAATTCCCAAATTGCAGAAGTTATTTGAAAGATTTTTAAAAAAACCATAAAATTTCGGAAGCAAACTGTAGCTGAAATCTTTGCACTTAATCAAATGCTTCTTGTAAAATGTTATGTTCTTGAAGGAAAAGAGTTTTCTGGCCAGCAATCGACCAGGCTGAATAGTTGTTTTGGGGTCTTTTTTGCATATAAAACACATTGGAAGTCAACTTCAGTCACACCTCTCTCTCCACTCCTTCCTTGACCGCCTGCAGTCTGTTTTTCGCCCCACCCACAGCACAGAGACAGAGCTCCTTGGCTCCGGTCAACACTTTCGGCTTTTCCTCCTGCTCCCATCCGGTTACCTGTGGGGTACCCCAAGGATCCATCCTTGACCCCCTCGCTTTCTGATCTACATGCTCGCTTTTGGGGATGTTATCCGCAGACATGGGGTACACTTCCACATGTATGCAGATGACACCCACCTCTATTTTTCCAACTCACATTGCGACCCCCCAGTCCCCTGATGTTCTGTCAGCCTGCCTGTCTGACATCAGGAGCTGGATGAGCACAAATTTCCTTCAGCTGAATGTAGACAAGACGGAAGCCATACTCTTAGGCCCTTGTCAACGTCTAAAATCACATGGGTCTCACCTCCTCCACCTACCCGACCTCCTCCTAAAACTCTCCGAACCCGTACGCAACCTAGGCGTCAGGTTCGACCCACAATTATCCTTCCTCCTCCACATCCGGTCCCTCACCAGCACCGCTTTCTTCCACCTCCGACGCATCGCCTGTCTCCGCCAATACCTCACTCCAAAAGCCGCTGAAACTCCGGTCTATGCGTTTGTCACCTCTCAGCTGGACTATTCAAATGCCCTCCTCACTGGTCTTCCCTCCACTATCATTCACAAAATCCAGGTCATCAAAAACTCTGCCGCCCGCATTCTCACCTGCACCAAACTCTGTCCCCGATAACCCCATTCCTTGCCAGACTGCACTGGCTGCCTGTCCCAGAGAGGATCGACTTCAAGATCCTCACCTTGTCTTCAAATCCCTCCACTCTGCACCCCCACGACCTCTCTGACCTCCTCTCTCCTCACAACAGTGCCCGTCTTCGCTCCACCAGGTCTGGCCTCCTCCTTGTCCCCCGAATCCTCCGCTCCACCATCAGCGGCTGTGCCTTCAGCCACTACGCCCCGAGGCTCTGGAACTCCCTTCCTCACTCCATTCATTTCGCCCACTCTCTTCTATTTTCAGGTCTCGGCTGAAGACCTTTCTTTTCGACCGCAGCTTTAGTCACCTTCCTCCCCCTCCCCCTGGCTCGGCCCTGGGATCCGTTACTGTGAAGCGCTCTGAGATGCCATCCGGCGTGGAGGGCGCTATATAAATCCAAGTTGTTGTTGTTGTTGTTGTCTTCACTCCCGCAGTCTGAACTCCTAAACCTCCCTGGGCTCTCCTTCAATCTCACTGAACCAGTGCGGAATCTAGGCATCCAGTTCAACTCCCAGCTGTCCTTCCTCCCCCACATCCAGTCCCTAACCAGGCCGCATGCCTCCACCTCCACCACATTGCATGCCTCTGACCGTACCTTACCTCATTGCAGCTGAAACCTTTGTGCACCTATTTGTCACCTCTCGCCTGGATTACTCCAACGCACTCCTCGCCGGTCTCCCCAGCTCTACTATTCAAAAAATCGAGCTCATTCAGAACTCTGCCGCCCGCACACTGATCCCGACCAAACTTTGTAGCCCCATCTCACCAGTTCTGGCCCAGGCCTTCTGGTTCCCCATCACCAAATGGATAGACTACAAGATCCTCACACTTGTGTTCAAATCCATTCATTCCCTGGCACTTCCCTACTTCTCCGATCTCCTCACTCCCCAATCCACCACCCAGCGCCTCTGCTCAACTGGCACCAGCCTCCTGCTCATCCCTCACACCCTCCGTTCCAGCATCAAAGATCGCACTTTTAGCCATTACGTCCCAAAGCTTTAGAACATCCTCCTTCAATCCCTCCGCCTTGCCCCCTCTCTCCCCTTTTTTCAAGGAAAACCTTTCTTTTCGACCATACTTATGGTCACCTGACCCCACCCGCTCCCAGCTCGGAGTCATGCTCTACCACTGCTAAACTCTCTTAAGATGCTACCCAGCGTGGAGTGGGCTATATAAGTGCAAGTTGGTGCTGTTGGCTCTACAAATATTTGTGTTTCTCTGCTGGCCTCTTCAGCTGATGAAAATGTTGCTGAACAGTGCAGTATGAGAGACTTGGGTGATGAGGGCGCTATTCTCCTAGGGAAAGACATTTACCTTGTTCCTCTGAATCAGTCACAAATCAACAAGCCCAGCATGAGGACGAGCAATATTCTGTGTGGATTAAATTCAATGGGAGGACAAAAAATTCTTTTTAAGTGTCTTTCAAAATTCTATCCCTCACCAGTACAGTATGTTGGCCTTCAGTGGCCAGGCAGGAATATCATCTTTGACTCAGTTTGAATCCTGTGAGCAGAATCAGCCTATTTGCTATTTTCTGCTCGCGAGATTCAAGCAATTACAACTCTGGTACCGGCAAATATCAATATTTTCTGGCGTGGTAATTACACCTAGTCGTAAATTCCGGCCCCCTGGACCAGATTTACGCCCCATTGGGTCATATTCCCTTGAGGTCGGTCACATACTCCTTTGAGGAATAAGAGTACCACAGGGAAAGCAGTTCATCCGTGGCTAACTAGAGCAGTTAGAGAAAGTCTAAAACTAAAAGAAAAGGCCTATAAAACTGCCAAAAAGAGTAGCAAGCCTGAGGACTGGGAGTGTTTTAGGGACCAACAAAAGAAAACCAAAAAGCTCATTAAGAGTGAGAAAATGGATTATGAGGGTAAGCTCGCTAGGAACATTAAGACAGACTGTAAGAGTTTTTATAAATACATTAAGAGGAATAGGCTAGCAAAAGTAAATGTGGGTCCATTATAGGCAGAGACAGAAGGAATTATAATGGAGGATAAGGATATGGAAGAGTCCCTAAATAAATACTTTGCCTCTATCTTCACGTTAGAAGACACAAGAAGTTTAACAGAAATAAAGATGAACCAAGGGGCTAATGATAGGGAACAACTTAGGGAAATTTACATTAGCAAAGAATTGGTACTAGAGAAATTGTTGGCATTAAAAAGTGATAAGTCCCCTGGACCTGATGGTTTGCATCCTAGAATTTTAAAAGAGGTAACTCATGAGATAGTGGAGGCCTTGTGTCTGATCTTCCAAAATTCTTTGGATTCTGGAACGGTTCCCATTGATTGGAAGATCGCAAACGTCACACCACTATTTAAGAAGGGTGGGAGAGAAAAGACGGGGAACTATAGACCAGTTAGTCTGACATCGGAAGTAGGGAAAATAAACACCGAGGATGACATTAAAAATATGCAACGTGATATAGATAGGCTAGGTGAATGGGCAAATAGGTGGCAGATGAAGCATAATGTAGGGAATTGTGAAGTCATCACCTAGGTGGAAAAAACAGTAGAGCAGATTATTTTTTAGAAGGGAAGAGACTAGATGGTGTTAGCGTTCAGAGGCACTTGGGTGTCCTTGTACACCAGTCACAAAAAGTTTGCAGGTACAGCAAGCAATTAGGAAGGCTAACGGTATGTTGGCATTTGTTACAAAAGGGTTAGAATATAAGAGTAGAAAAGTCTTGCTGCAACTGTCTAGAGCCCTGGTGAGATCTCACCTAGAGTATTGGGAGCAGTTTTGGTCTCCTTATTTAAGAAAATATGTACTCACCTTGGAGGGGGTACAATGTAGATTCACTGGGTTGGTACCTGGGATGAGGGGATGAGTTATGAGGATAGGTTGAGCAATTTAGGCCTATATTCTCTAGAATATAGAAGAATGAGAGGTGATCTTATAGAAACCTATAAGATTAGAAAGGGGCACAACAGAATAGATAGTGGAAGACTTTTTCCCCTGGTTGGAGAAACTATAATCAGGGGTCACAGTCTTAAAATTAGGGGTAAGCCCTTTCACACTGAGTTGAGGAAAAACTTCTTCACTCAGCGGATACAA